CCTTTCAGTCCTTTGTGTCTGACTCTTCATGACCCCATTTGGGGGTTTCTTGGCAAAAATACTGCAGTGGTTTACCATTTCCTTCTCCAGCTCATTTAACAGATGAGGAAACTGAGGCAAACAGGGTTAAATGACTTGCCCAGGGTCACACAGCTAATAAGTATCTGACTCTAGGCCAAGAGCCCTATCTACCGTGCCACCTAATTGTGCTCCCCATCCCACCCCAAACATATCCTATCTGCATAGATGCTAAACTTATTCCTGGGTAAAAGGACGTATACACAAGAAATGGTATAAAAAGGAGGTGGACCAGTTGTGTAGCAAGATGGAGAGATAATAAATGGGACAGCCAAAATGTTCTTCTAGTACTCTCAGCCTGTTAAAACACCTCGAAGCAGGGATTTTTAACCTTTTTTGGGGGGATATAATGGATGTTCTGGTATTCTACCAAAGCCTAGGGATCCTGTCTCTGAATAATGTTTTTAAATGCATAAAATGAAATACGTAGGATTATAAGGAAACCAATTATATCAAAATGTAATTATCAATTAAAAAAACATTCTCAAAACTTAGATTAAGAATCCTTACACTAGAGCAAGACCTATAGCATGAAAAGGCATTAGCTGGGTTGCAGTGGGCGCTACTAAAGTGAGGATCAATATAAAGAAGATCAAAGATCCATTGAAATATTGGACTATTATTATTATTAGAGACTTGGCCTATTTGGGGGTAGTTGGAACAATCAGGATCTTGTACTAGGTCTGGGATTCCCAGTTCCTTTCCTCAACTCTTCAAAAATATTTTCTGTTATGAAGAGCCCTAGAGAGTAGACTTTACTGCCCCAGGCTAGAGCACTTGAGCCCACTCTATGCTGGAATTTATGTTTTAATCTACCTTCTATATCTGCTGCTGATTCTAGATCTGTAGACATTCACTGAGCTCACAGTGCAATGACCCACAGTACCAAAATTTTTCATCTCTGAAGCACATTAATAGGGAAACATAAGGATGTAGGGTTCACAGAAATCTCTTTTCTCTGTTATCTTTGAGATATGTGATCTAAAATAATTTGGGCAGGAAAACATTACTAATAATACTGATTAAAAGTTTAAGTAGAGTAAACCCCACTGATTCAGAAGAGCTAAACTCTTGTCTAAGTTTCTCCCTAAAATGTGAAATAATTTTAATTCAATTACAAGCATCTTGAGAACAGGCAGCAGAAAAGGGAATTTCCCTTTTAGGTGACATAGGATAGAGAAGAATCAGCACTTTAACTAGAATGCACCACCATTCCTATTATTACACATACTGTTTAGCACAATGTAAACTTAATTGTCTGTTGAATTGAATTGATGAGTGTTCATCCATTTAAACTAAAATATAAATCCGTTATTGCTTCTGATCATTGTAGGTCATCAGCCATCCCTTTGAAACTCCATCCTGATATCCATATTAGCAATGGGATATCTACTTATATGGAGCAAAAGGACCCAGACCTTTAAGGACATGTCTAAAATATTCAAAATTCTGAATTTTCAGAGAACAAACCCCCAAGGATTTGCTGTATGATATAATACTATTTTTCCTTGAGACAATTAAGTTCACTTCTCTTAATGGTATTATGATATTAGAGGCCACATTGGAGAAAATTTCAGAGCTAGCAAAAATCTTATTGGATCCCCAATTGATAAATGGTCAAAGGATATGAACAGGCAGTTTTCAGAGGAAGAAACTAAAGGTATCTATAGTGATGTGAAAAAATGTTCTAAATCACTATTGATAGGAGAAATGCAAATCAAAAAGACTCTGAGGTACCACATCACACCTACCAGATTGGCTAACATGACAGGACAATGATAAGTGTTGGAGAAGATATGGAAAAATTGGAACACCAATACATTGTTGGTGGAGTTGTGAAATGATCTACCATTTTGGAGAGCAATTTGGAACCATGTCCAAAGGGCTATAAAATTGTGCATACTCATTGACATAGCAATACCACTTCTAGGGCTGTATCCCAAAGAGATCATAAAAATGGGGAAAAGACCCACATGTACAAAAATAGTTATATCGGCTCTTTTTGTGGTGGCAAAGAATTGGAAATTGAAGGGATGCCCATCAATTGGGGAATAGCTGAACAAGTTGTGGTATATTAATGTAATGGAATATTATTGTGCTATAAGAAATGATGAGCAGGCAGACTTCAAAAGACTTGGAAAGGCTTACATGAACTGATGCAGAGTGAAATGAGCAGAACCAGGAGAACATTGTACACAGTAACAGCCACATTATGGGATGACTGACTTTGATAGACTTGGCTCTTCACAGCTACACTAGAATCTAAGACAACTCCAAAAGATTCATGATGAAAATTGCTATCCACACCCAGGGAAAGAAATTTGGAGTCTGAATGTAGATGGAAGTATACTATTTGCTCTCTTTTTCCTTTGTTATTTTGTTTTATTGCTTCATTCTTGTGGTTCCTACCTCTAGATCTAATTGGGAAAATATGCTTAACATGAATGTATATGAACAGCCTATATCATATTGTGTCCTGTTTTGGAGGGAGGGATTTGGAGGGGGAGAAAATTTAAAACTCAAAAATCTTATGGAAGTGAATGTTGAAAACTAAAAATAAATAAATTAAATTTTAAAAAAATCTAATTGGACTGATAACATTAAAAAAAAAAACAACCACCCAAAACCATTGCCCTAATTTTCTCCTAACCACATATCAAGTGCTTATACTGCTAGTGTTGGATTAAGTCACTTGGAAGCTTTGGCTAAATTTGAAGATCACACCCTCTATGTGTTATTGTCTAGTCTAGATTTGAATGAATAGAGTCAGAAAGATGTGGATTCAAATCCCACCTTTGACTTTCGCTAGTTGTGTGGCCATGGACAAACCACTAAACATCTTTAAGTCTCAGTTTTCTCTTCTATAGAATGAGAGAAATACCTGGAATGTCTTCCTCACAGAGTCATTGTGTGACTCAAATAAAATAATGGTTATAGAGTGCTTCACAGATCTTTAAATGTCAGTTATAATGATGATGATGATTCACTATAACATATGAGTTGACTGATCACAAAATAAATACCTATGTACTAAGAAGAATGGAATTTTCTAATATGAAATAATAACTACCCTACATATAGCACTTTAAGGTTTGCAAAGTGTCTTATATATTGGCTGTCCCAAAAATCTTAATGCAGTTTCAAACTTCAAGCTCTGACTAAGATTTTTATGATCCTGGGCAAGTTACTTAAGCATGTTTGCCTTAGTTTCCTCATCTGTCAAATGAGCTGGAGATAGATATGGCAAACCATTCTAGTTTCTTTGCCAAGAAGACCCCAAATGGAGTCACAAAGAGCTGGACAGACTGAAATGACTGAACAACAACAAAAGACTTTCGGGACATCCTGAATTGCTTTATTTGATCCTAATTATAGCCTATATGAAGCATGCAGTACAGTTTTTATTAGCTCCATTTTACAAGTTAGGAAAATCAGGATCAGTGAAGTTAAATGATTTGTTTATGGTCACATAACATTAGGGGAAAATTTGAATTTAAGTCCCTCCTGGCTTCAGGGCTAGTGTTCTATATATAACTTGCACTATGTAACACTATTTGTATACATGTATGCACAGTATTATTAAAATATGTACCTTGTTACAACCTCTTCACTGTCACACCCTAAGCAGCTACCTTTTCCCCCTTCAGTTCCAACACTGCTGGGACCTCAATATACAGGAAATTTACCATTTTAGTTATGGCAAATTTCTCCTTAAAATACTAATTGAGAATTTTTTTTAAAAAACCCAGAAAAATCTATCAAAATAGCTTCCTATTCAAAGCACAGAAAGTCAGTCCTGTAGTCAAATGGTCAAACACTTCGATTTTTAGAAAATTTTCTAATAGTAATTAACCTTTACTGTTAGGCAACTAAAATATTAAAGCAACCACAAACTCATGATCTTTATAGAGAAAATTTTCCAATAGAAACTTTTATGTAAATTTCTCTGACTAGCTTTATTACTTCACCTTATATTGTTTGTTTTTTTATATTTTCCCCTGACACAAAACACTGAGTTCAAACCAATTTTAGAAATTGGTGGGGTTTTTTTTTTAACTGCTAGACCCTTCTGTTTCCAAGGGCTAGTCTCCATGTAACATTTCAACATTTTTATTCATTGTTTTGAACTTCTGTCAAAGAACTGCTGGACATTTTCCAAACAGATTAAATATGTCTATCATCATGTTTCTAATTCAGTAATTTTTTACATATGGGTACCAGATGCATTTTCCCCCCATTTCATGTCTTTGGAACTTTAAAGCAACCTGTAACCTGAACCATGAAAAGATTTAAGTGCAGACGCTTAGTGGACGCATCTTTTTTGGCATTACAAAGCATTCTCTGCTAAACAACAGTTTTCCATGTTTATACACACACACACACACACACACACACACACACACAAGTTAAAGCTAGATTAACAATAGTGTTCCAAAGAAAATTGTTGGAATTTATTCATTAAACATTATTTGGTACAATAAAATATGGAAGCTAGTACGACCAAAAATCAGGACTGAGAGCAGGTAAACATCATTTCATTAGAAAGCACGTTTCTATTTCCACTTAAACAATATTTTACCTTGTTTTCTATTGCTGATAACCAAACTACCAACCTGGAAACTAGGGTGTCAACATTACTTTTAACAAAGCCTATGGATAGTTAGACATTCTTTGAGCATCGGGTGTTTCTCTAGGATTCATTTGTTTCGAGTGTTCAAGCACAATTTTGAAAGTCAATAGACTGGTTAAGCTTGGGTGCTTGGGTTTTGACAATCCCCCTCCTCATCTGACCCCTTCATAACAGATTCCCCAGCCTTGTTTTTGGTTAGTCCTATTGGGGAATGGGCTTTCCATTATTCCTCATTCTTTTCAGTTATTCCTAAATACCAGAGTTGTCCTCTTACCGTGTCCCAAGTACTCACAGTGTTTGAGTATTCTGAGGGAGGCTGGGAATGAAGTGGATGTCCTTGCAGGTAACTCGGAAGTCACCCTCTTGGTAGCACTCGCAGAGCCGGGAAGGGCGCTGCTTGCCTTCCAGGATTGTCCGCAAAACCAGCAGCAGCACCAGAAGTGACAGCTGGGACTTCCCCATTTTCCACTACTATCTCTATTTCTTCATCCCACTGCTCTTCTGCAGCTGAATGAGAAAGAGGACAGCGTGGAGAGGGAAGGAGGAGGAAGAGGAGGGAGAAGAGTTGAGGAAGAGGTCTCTGGAAAGGCAGTGAGCCTTCCTTCTCACCACCAAAGAGGTGAGGAGGTAGCTATTCTCAGGATTCCGCCTCCCTAGTCTCTTAAACTAAAGACTTCGTACTTCCTCTCCTAAAGACCCCCAAACACCACCACTCCTCACTCTTCTCTGGCCCTTACTCTCCCACACCGGCTCCAATATCCTCCTCCTGGCTTTAAACATCCTTTGCTCTTTTTCCAGCTATCACTCGTCCCTCTTTTCAAACTCCCCCACGATCTATCTACAAACCAAGGCTCTTCTCTTCTTCTTGTTCTTTTTCCTGCTCATGCCCCCACCTCTCGCGCCCCGGTGCCTCTTTCCTATAAGTTATCAGACCCTGGTCCCAACGAACATCTTTCCTCATCTTCCAGGCTCCCTTGGACACTCTCCTCCTGGGATCCACCCACACTCTGTGCTCCCAGGAAAAAAAAAATCCCCTTACCTGATTTCCGAGATGACTCAGTGTGGGAGCCGGACACTACCTTGACCAGGGAGGGTAATTGATCTCTTGGAAGAAAATGTTTGTATCTTGCTTTTCCAGACTGTCCTAGAAAAGCATCTTCTTGGAGCTGGCAATGCACTGGGCTCCCAGTTTGGGAAAGCACGGGTTGCATTCAGAAGAGCGGCAAGATCTCTTTAGAGTGCATCTTAACCTAATCAGACATTTCTAAACGGGAATAGAAGACTGTGGAGCTCTAAGCTCTAAACTCTAAGAAAAGCGGGATGAGCCCTTTAGAGATCTCCGGCAAGCAGTGAATATTGCAGTTAGGAAACTGGGACTCTGGCGCCATCTGTAGGCAGAAACTGGAAATGCATAAACCCTGGCATGGAAATCTGAATCCCTAGGATCCCTGAATATGGGATTAGGAAATGGAATGAAACTTTGAGCTTGTATTCAACCCACTCATTTTATCAAAGAGGAAATTGAGATCTTGTGGCCTGTTTCACAAGTAGCAGAACCAAGATTTGAATCTAAGGCTGTCAGACTTCAAATCTAGTGACTTTCCAAGTATTCAGTCAATCATTCTGGTATGGGGGGAAAGTACCAGATTTGGTTCATATCAGTTCTGTGATTTGCTACCTGGGACCTTCAGCGACCTCTCTAGGCCTCAGGTATTTAGCAAATGAAGAGTTGAATGGGATAAGCTCTCAGATCCCTTCCAGCTTTAAATGTATGATCTGATGGAGTCTCTTGTAAGTTCTAGCCCTGGAACAATATTCTATTAACTCCAGAGTCCCTCATTATGTCTACAACCAGCAGATGCAAATACACTGTAGACCCTGGAATTCCCACATTCTAAGTAATAAACAGAAACACCACCCGACAACTAAGTGGGGATGTTTTTTTCTTTCTTTTTTTTTAATCAGGAGCACTAGCTACTCTTCAGACAGCTCTCCCCTCTGCCTTTCATCTATCTGTTAGCAACAACTTCATTCACATCAGGGTCAAATGAACCTGCCAGAACAGATGGAATGTAAAATTTCTTGAGTCCTTGCCTCCGAGGAAAAATCTTGATCTTTACTCACCAAGACTCCTTTCTACTACTTAAAGCTTCTTACCCATGGTTCAGGCTTTTGTTATGGAAAAATCCCAGATTCTGCTATTTTTTTTATTCCTCTTTGGGAAGTTAATAGAAACAGGATGGCTTCTGAGGTGCTTTTCAGCTTTTGACTCGGGATTTATAAATCAGTAACTATCATTTAGTTCTAGAGCTCCCAGGTTAGATGAACCTGACAATTCTGAGAGGTCCATGCTTTTTGTCGCTTCATCTTTCCCATTTCTACTTAGTTTACTAGTCACTGTCCTTCTCTGTGGCTTGCCATTCACAATAAAGAAGAATAGTAGATGAATGAATGAACCTTTGAAACTTAGCATTCACCATGTTATTTAAATTTCATTTATTTAATTAATTTTTAAAACGGAAACAAAATTTAAAGAAAAGAGATAAACTGTGAATTTAACATGCAATCTCCCAGTAAGAGAACATGGAAGGGAACAGGTAAACATTCCCATGAGTCCTCTCACAGAAGAAGTCCAGTAATAACTAGACATGTCTCTTACCCAGCCTCAGGATGTTCTATTGGGTCATGGCAGAGAGGTACCTACAGTGTAATTCTCAGGGATGGATTAATGACTCCTCTAACTCTGCTCCAGTCTCCATTCAGTCTCTCTTATTCCCTCACTTGAATCAAGCATGGAGAGTCTCCATAATTTTCCTTTTCCCTTGTGGAATCCTCCCTCTACTAAGAGCTTTTCTTTCTCTTCCCTTTCAGATGTTCCAGGAGCTCAGTGAGGACTTATCTTCTGCCAACAGAAGTTACTATCTGCTGTCTAGCAGTGTTACTATGATCTGTGAGCTGTATCTATAGAAGTCTCCACAGCTGAAGTATTAGGAATAAAGTGTATTGCTTCAGGGTTCTTCTCCCCTTCTTTGACCTGGGTGTTGGGTTACAAAAGAAACAGATCCTTGTTCACTTGAAATGTCTGGTTTTGAGATGTTGTCTGGGTCAAAAAGCCTTTGCTACTAACAGGTGGTCTCTTTTGCTTAGAGTTTATTGAACTAAGTGCCCAATCACTTTACCTACAAGGTCCCATCAACTCACCTATAGGAAATAAATAGTTGTGGTGGATTGTCTTTTCAGGGTCGCAGACTATCTCTGTGGCTATTTTGTAAAACAGCAAGCAGCCTCCCCACAAGTAGGTAGGGAATAGCTTTCCATCAATTTGCTAATTTGTGGGCCACAAGCACCAATATTTCTTAGCAGAACTCTATTTGTTGCAGGATTTGGTAATGGATTTAAGAATCATATCGTCATTTGCTTCTGTCAGAGCTCTTCTGGGCTAAGATTAGAGGCAGGTGGTAAGCTCCTTTTAGTTCTCTCTCAGTCAAGAGACGTAGTGGTTGTCATTGTCTGCAGTCAGTAATGAAAAACTCTCTGACAGACAGTGGTTCAGAAACAGACGTGTGTTCCTCTTCCTTCACAGAACAAAAGATTCTGTTGTTTTCTGTAGTTCCACCTCTGGATGTAACAAGACTAGACCCAGAGACAGCACCTCTTTTGCCTGGTATAGCTGCAGCGACTCCTAGAAATATACTGGAACCAAGAATTCGAAAGCATGAGGTGTACACACCCAAATACCAGCAGCTGGGTATAAATCCTGTGGCATCATTCCTGGTGGAATAGTATGGGTATCCTTGAAAGCCACATAATACCTCTGAGACTTTTGTTGTGGTCCCAGTGTCCCTAACATATTAGCAGTGAGCAATTGAACGATTCAGGTTGTAGGTCCCCTTGATATAGTTTTCGATAATAGCGAAAGCTAACATCTGTTGAATAGAATGCTTTCAAAATCTCTGCCTTGGTCTGAATGGAACCTGGCAGGAAATCCACATTGAGACATACTCCTTACCTAATACTGTAGAAACTACATTAACTTTCTGGTTTCAGGTTGATTATGCCTGTGCATACCTAGAGAAGTGGCCAGACATCATATGAACATAGCTTAAATTCTTATTATCACTTTACAGAGGCAGGAAGTCAATACAGACAAGTTCTAAAGATTTGCTGGTGTCTTAATTTTCCAAATATGCTACACCAATTGTTAGTACTTTATTTTGCACATAACAAACACAAGTCTCACACTTCTTAGTGACATGTGCAGCCATCTTGGCTCAGTAAAATATGTTTTAGCTCTAGGGTCCTTTCTTGACCCATATGTCCAAAGTTATCATGTAAAAGTTTGATGATCACAAAATGATATGCACTTGGGTAAAATTACTTGTTTCCTGGCACTATGTGTGGGCTAAGTGACAGTCAGTTTCTTAGCTCCAATCTCTGTCATTGTCTCACAAGTAAGATGCCTTTAAGGGACCAGCACTTCTATGTAGGTTTGTATGTAGACCTTGAATGTAGGCTTTTTTAAAAATCTTTTATTACTTTTCATAGTTTTTTGTCAACCATCTGCATTCACCATCAGTCATCCAAAAACAAGTGAGAACAAAGGTTGATTCAATAAATCAAGGCACACAAATAGCACCAGCAATCCTTTTATGCAATTCCAAGGTTTCTTTCTTTCAGATCCCACATGGGACCCACCAATTTTTCCAAGAAACAATTCATCATCTTGCCCCTGTCTAGTGTGTGTCAAACCTTTAATAACTGTTGTACCCCTGGCTCAAATCCAGGAGGGCAAATGTGTAACTCTGAGAAAATTCCTACCTTGAGCTTCCTTTTGTGATCCACAAGGAGGTATATTGTCTGGGTCCTGCTTACAGGCAATACTTCTATGTGCAGCCTAGGGGGTTTAGCCCCTGCTTGATATACAGGTGAACTATCTCTTTCCAACCTAAGGGATCTAGCTTCGGTCCTTCTCACAAGTGAGCTATTCTTCTCTGATACAGTCTACTTAGTTACGCCCATCTTATAGATGACGTTTCTCTTTCTGTATTAGGGGGCCCAGCCCTTTGTTTAACCATTATCAGAACTTTCACGTCTGGTATAAACAATGTGAAATCAGTGTTATCCAATGAAGTGCCTGATTCTGATGAGTAGAATTTTGCCTCAGCTTTCCTGTGGTTCTAGCAAATCAGTGTTCTGGTTTCTTGCAATAGGGATTAGTTTCCTTAAAATGCAACAAAGCTGTCCCAGGAACTTGACTGGCTACTGCCTCTCTTATATAGCTTTCTGATCACCTAAGGGCACAAAAAATAGCTTCCTTTCCACCTTGGTGAATTTATGAATTCACCTGAGTCATCATTTCTTTTTCTGCTGACTACTACTACTACTGCTACTGCTACTGCTACTGCCACTACTACTACTACTACTACTGCTACTACCACCAGCACCACCAAACATTTTTCCATATTAATATACTTTATTTATTTTAACATTCATTTAAAAAAAATGTGTTCCCAATTATCTCTCCCTCTTGAGCCCCTCCCCCAGCCATTGAGAAAGCAAGCAATATGATATCAATTATATATGTGAAGTCATGCAAAACATATTTTCGTATTAGCCATGTTGCAAAAAAAAAAGCAAGAAAAATAAAGTGAAAAAAGTATGCCTCAATAAGAGCTAGCATTTATATAGTGCTTACCACACACAAAGTACTTTGCTAAGCACTTTACAAGTATTATGTCACTTGATTCTTACAACACTGGAAGGTATGTAGTTATTAAAATCATTTTACAGTTTGGGAAACTGAGGCAAACAGAAGTTAAGTAGAGTTATATGGCTAGTAAGTGGCTGAGACTGCATTTGAACTCAGATCTTCCTGACTTCAGGTCCACAGCCCTATGAACTCCCTCGCTGCCTCATGCACTTAGGTAAAGAGATGAAGAGGCAACACCCAGAGAAGTTAGTGTTTGAGCAAAGTAAACTTGCTTTCGTGAGCTGTTCGGTGATTTGTAAGTGCCTCATTTGATCCCAGGCCAGCTGGATGACACAGCGGATACAGCACCAGACCTGGTATCAGCAAAAGTTATCTTCCTGAGTTCAAATCTGGCCTCAGACACTAGCTGTGTGACCTTGGGCAGGTCACTTAAACCTGTTTGCCTCAGTTTCCTAATCTATTAAATGAACTGGAAAAGCAAACGGCAAACCACTCCAGTATCTTTGCTAAGAAAATGCCAAATAAGTTATGAAGAATCAGACACAACTGAAATGACTGAACAACAATATTTGATCCCAACATCAAACCTAAA